GGCGCAGTGCCAGTAGTTCCAGTTGATTTATTGTTGGACATACTTTTGCTTTGGGGGGGGGGGGATGCGCAGGGTACTCTAGCACATGATTTTGATTTACTGAAACTGGGGTACAACTGCCTGACCCCCAACATGTAGTTTTGTGTATTCCAGTTCCTCCTCATCAATATAATACACAATAGTTTTCATTTAAAACTGATTTATGCAAAGCCACTGAATCCCTACATGCTCTCTTTGTTGTATGGTGAGAAATTCACTCCTTAGAACTTTAAATAACAGTTCAAACAACCTCCTTTAAAAACTTAGTATTAAGTATTTTTTAAAAGGCCATCCAGCACTGATGGCATTTTGTTTATACTTTAACCTTTACTTCATATAATAACTAAGTGTGGACATTTTATTTATATACTATATTCACTCAATAATTATAATAATTTATAAATAACATTTATAAATGCAGGGGGCCTAAAACTATGTCACTAACTTGTGATTTTTTTTATATAGGCAATAACATCATTTTAAATTAAAACAAAATGCAATATCATAATTATAATTATGTCAGTGCTAAGGTGTCTGGTGGAAATAAAATGATTACTTACTTACATAACACTCCAAGCAATCAGAAAGAAATGTATCTTGTACAAGTTAATGAGTGATTTCCTAGTTTCAAAGATTTATGTTCATATTCAGATGCTCTTGAGATTTTTTTATATTAAATCCTTATGTCTTACTATAGAATCAATTCAAACAAATCACTTAAGTCACAAATTAACAAGGATCTGTGTAGGTATTTAAAATGAGAAATGTAAATAATATAACATAATTGATATTTAGTTTCAGATTATTAAAAAAAATACCTTTATTATTTTTTTTTGTCTTTAAGAACCAATGTTCGCCTTTACTGTTCAAATTCATTGAGAATCAGCTTATTTGAATTTACAACTGGTGTATTGTGAAACTGATTTGACATGTTAAGTTCAAATTTCCAAGACTTTAACCAAGCATTAAGAGGATAACAAATTCAATCTATTCTAAAACTAATATGACAAACTGCTTTGGTCTGGTACTTAAACTAAATGTGTTTGAAAAAAGGATACAAATTTGATTTTTTTGGATAATTTTCTGATTTACCAATAGACCAACTGAGTTTAAAATAGAATATTCTGCATAGCAAAGCAAAACATATAATATTCATCAATTTAGCCAATCACTTTCCAGTTCTTTGGACCACCCATTCCTGTTGGCACAGAGGACATCTGTTGTTCTGTTTGACCCAGAGTGACATACAGCAGTTGTGAAATGAGTGGTTACATTCTCCCCACACCACTGTTGGGTAGAAATAAATCTGAATTATTCACCAAAAACAAATATAAAATACAACTCCAATGAACTTACATGCTTCTTTATAGTCTTTTTCTCATTGATCATGTGTAAATATTATTTCTCTCTTATGTAATTTGCAAAATAAAAAAAATAAAAATTCCATGTTATTAAATATAATCTAGACATGGCTTAACAAGATTTCATGCTGGTAAGAAGTGAATCATTGTTAGCTTTTTGATCAACAGTGCCTTTAAAATATTGACACGCCCAACTTAAGCCCCCCCCCCCCTCCCCCCGTTGTGAAACACTTAGCATCATCTGGCGGAACTTTAATTGGCAGCTGCACACTTTTTGCGGAGCACTAGTTTAAAATATTGTGCCTTTAAAATATTGACCCGCCACACTTAAGCCCCCCCCCCCCTCCCCCCGTTGTGAAACACTTAGCATCATCTGGCGGAACTTTAATTGGCAGCTGCACACTTTTTGCGGAGCACTAGTTTAAAATATTATTTTGTTTAAAAACAATTTTTTTATTTGATTATTATAATTTAAAAATATGCTTATAGATGTAATAACCTGTTGAATATAAATTCATAGTTCAGTTCATTTTCACTGCCATCACTATTGTTAGTTGTCCTCCACTAGCATCATTTACTGATATAATAGTTTTAAAATCTGATTCAGAGTTAAAGTTAAAATCAACCATTTAGCATCACCACCATAACTTTCTGGGTTCAGTTCAATAGACTTGACATCATTATTTGTTATAATTTCATCACCTGCTCTTGATAGTAAACTAAACTTGAGCTTTGAAAGCTATGGAATATTTCAAATTCTTATTAACGTAGTACCAGTATCAAAATCAGATAACATTTTTAAAAATTTCTTCAAAGGAACTAAATTCTCATGTTATATGGGTTAGCTTTATAGTTACCATGAATGAACATGACATAATGCAGTCTGGGATGAAAGGTGATGGTATTGGCAGTAGCTCGTGGTAATATTTGAGGACAAAAAGTGACACTATCGCAGGAGTAGGTTAATAATAGTTTTCCACACATGTACATTTAATAATTATTGATTATATTCTACACTTCGACGAGTGGCTCACTAGGCCAATCCTAGAATGACAATATGGACAGCATTTCTCGCAGGAGAATATTAATTCCTGGTAAGATCTTGACTTCTCTATTATTCTTTTTGTTGCAAGGTCCTCGTTTCACGTATCTTCTGCCTTTTTTACTCCTTCATACACTGCTGTTCGCCAGCTGGAACGTTGTTCGGCAACGAGCTCCCATTCGTTGATTTCAATATTGGCTTCCCTCATATTCCTTTTGCAAACGTCCATAAATCTCAGGCGTGGCCATCCAATAAGTCTTGTCCCTTCTGCCAACTCTCCATACAGCAGCATCTTTGGGATATGGCCTTCCTCCATTCTCCTTACGTAGCCTAACCAGCAAAGACGCCTCTTGCTAAGAAAGGAGAATATGCTAAACATGTGTGCACGTGCTAAGACCTCAGTGTTAGGCACCTTGACCTGCCATCGAATGCGTAAAATGCGACGCAGACATCTTTGGTAGAAGCTGTTGAGTTTCCGCTCCTGACTGGTATATGTGGTGCATACTTCGCTACCATATAGGAGGGTACTAAGCACACATGCCTGATTGACACTTATTTTTGTTTTATCAGTTAGATTGAGATTATTCCTCACCTGCTTATTCTGTTTAGCCATGGTTGCTGCTGCTTTTGCGCTCCTGATATTTATCTCTTCATCGAGGGAGAGAGACCTAGAAATATTGGATCCAAGGTATGTGAAAAGCTCAACAACCAAAAGATTATGACCCTCAATAGATATGATTGGAGAGGACGGTGCTTCTTGGATCATTACATGTGTTTTCTGTAGACTAATCGCAAGTCCAAACTCTTTGCAAGCGTGTGATAGACGGTTAACCAGCCCCTGAAAACCTTCTTCAGTGTGAGATGTTAAGGCGGCATCATCGGCGAACAGCAGTTCACGAATCAGCACCTTTTTTTACTTTGGTCTTTGCAGGAAGGCGGATGATATCGAATAATTACAACAAATCCCATGTTTCTAGCATTCCATAAACTAACTTACCTCTAAACCCAATACTGTGGTTAAAACTAGCTCTTAATTTAAGATTTTTCTTATCTGTGTCTTTTGCTATGATTATAAGTCAGTAATTGTAACAGAGTTATTCTGCCAAAAGAATTTAGATGAAACACTCAAGGAAGAACTCACCCACACAGTCATCTTGTTTGTTTTCTGACTGACACCTTAAACATGCATCTGTATGGAGAAAACATATTTTTATGATTAATTCATAATTTAATCAACTGAAAATTTGCCAATTTTTGATTACCTGGGCTAACTTTTGGTGTAAGCTTCAAACAAAAGCTCTTAAACCAAAGCAGATGGGCTCAACTGCACCATTCTTGTTAAAGTATATGTGCCTATATGAATAGTGGAGAATTAGTAAGGTTTTAGTTGTCGGATGCAATGAGCAACGGGTACCCGTACAATTGATTTTTTTAGGACACAATTTGCTATTATTTTAATGTATATTATATATTTATATTCTCTACTTCTGCCCTTTCACTAACATCACATTAAAGCTTAGGACCTATTTGCACTATTTTATTCTAACTTAAAATGGCCCTTATCTTTTTTTTTTAAAAGTATGCATAACTATAATTATAATTTTAAAAAAATTAAGTTACGTCTAAAATGAGTCAGATTTATTAACCTGATCTGCAATCAGGATATAAAAAATGGAATAGATTATGTAGACACTTTGGTGAAAATTTTGAAAAAAATTAAAATGTGGAAATACAACATCTGCAAAGAGCCTAGTGAATGGTTTAAAAAACCACCAAGATCAACTTGCTAACTCAAGTGGTTCAAACGCTATGGATCTTTTAGTAAGGACCTCAAAATCATTTTTGTAAACTATGGAGTTTTTCTCCTGTTTTGATTTTGTTTTAGGGTCCATTGCTTTGTTATAAAATAAGTAGCTACTTTGAGTAGTGAGAGATGAGGGATTACTTTGAAATGATTATTAGTGCCTGTTGTTAATAAGGATGTTATTATGTGATTATAACTCCGAAAAGGATTATTTGTGACTTTTGATAGTATGGATTTTAGTACCGGTATGTGATTTTTTGGATAATAAAGGAGTCCGTTACTTGACATCTAATACTCAGGACTTTTGTGATGCATGGCTGTCATCTCAGTATAGAGTACCAGAGCGTAATTGTGCAAGTGTATTACATAATCCCCAGCAAGTGTATGTAGTAACAATAGTAGTAGTCTCTAAAGTCAACATTGGGGGCCCACCCAAACTCTGAAAAGTCCAGAAAACGTATCCTGAAGAGGTGTTGGTTAGAACAGGTTATCTCCTGTTAGCCAAATATTGCTGTCCGAACACAGCGACGGTGTTCCGCTCAATGGAACATTAAACCTGCTCATCTGGTGTAAAGAGTTAAAAGCAGGTCAGAGCAGAGCATATGGCAGTTAACTGGAACAGCCTCATGGGACAGCGTAGTTGTACACATCTTGACTATGACCAGAAATACGTCTGGTCGGCATACATATCTAGACTTTACCTGCAACCAGATCATCACCCATGCAGTGACCAGATCAGCACTGCACCTACGACCAGATCATCACAATGCCTGCTACCAGATTGACAACGTGGCCCCTAATCGGCCACCACATTAGCAAACCTTAGCCATAACACTTAAAAACTGAAATTTAAAAAAATTTATTTAGTGTGGCCTAAGTCAAGTCAACAGCTTTTTTTTGGTGTGGTTGGGAGCAACACTTGAAGACTAATTGCCCTCGGCGACAGGAAAATAAGGAGTGGACACAGACCAGAAAAGGGGAAGACAGACGGGTAGACTTTACAACTAGAGAGAAGAATAAGTCCTATAAGGCATTGATAAAACGATAGTAAAAAAGGCAAAAGGAATATGCATAAACCATTGTTAGGACAAAAGCTTTCAGTTAACATGGCAGAAGATGTGCAGGGGATTTCCACAAGGAGGTTATGTTTAGAAAAAGGGAAATTATTTGGGAAGGATGCACAATAGTTGGGTGCAGAAAAGAGTTAGTACCTCGGCAGCAGGTAATGGATGTAAATTATAAATTGAGACTTATAGACGGGACAATAAAAATGCATACATGGATATAGATACTAAATATTTGAAGGGGACATTTTTGGCCGCTCTGTCCGAGAACCCAGTTGCCAATCTTATTACCGGTATAGGGAATGTTGGAGAAGAAACAAATAGATCATTTTATCAATACAGAAATATAGTGACAAGAGCACAAAGTAAAAAAGAAAGGGAGAATGATAAGACAGCAGAAAGTACCATCGGGGCAGTGCCAGTGTTACCAGAAAGTATGAAAGAGCAAATGAAAGACCAGGAATTACATAAATATTGGGATAAATAAAAAAATAATAGCGCTGAAAATACAAGACAGGGACTCTTTATGTTTCAAAGTAGAAATGGGTACTTGTATAGAATACTTAGGTCATTGGAATACCTTTCCAAAAAGTGGCTATCGATATTGATGGTCCCCTACAAACTAGCACTAATAAAAATAGATGTATACTTACGTTAATTGATATGGCTACCCGGTGGCTCGGGGCAGTTCCATTGAAAAATGCTACTGCAAAAGATATATGTGAAGCACTAGTTTCTTTCTTTACAAGAATGGGTTTTCCTGAAGTAATTTTGTCAGATAATGGCCCTTAATTTTCTTTGGAGTTATACATGCAAGTGTGCGAACTCTTTAATATCAGTACCACCCATTTGTCAATCTAACATCCACAATCCAATGCAATGGTGGAGAGGTTGAATGGCACTCTAAAAACAATGTTAAGAAAAGTAGCTAAAAATGAACTAAAAAACTGGGATAACGTTTTACCGGCTATACTTTTTGCTTACAGGAAAGTTCCCAATCATATGAGACCACGTTAATTTCACCATATGAATTAATGTTTGATAGAAAAGTAAGAGGGCCAATGTCCATACTATAAACGTTATTTACAAAGGAAAATAAGACAGCAAAACATAAAATGTATTTTGATCGCAATACAGTAGTCAAAGACATTCAAATAGGAGTAAAAGTATTAGTACTGAAGCCAATGAAGCGAAACACGTTACGGTAACATTACATTCTGTGGAGCTGTATGAAAATACAAGAATAGTATCAAAATTTAATGAAAAGAGGGCAGAAGAAGAAAGTGTATCATCTTAATAGGAATGTCAAGTATTTTAACAGAGTGGGAGCAACAAATAATAAGGAGGCAGAGTTGCAACGGGGGGACGGGGGACGACATATGTCCCCGGGCACCACACCACCTAACTAAGGACCTCAAAATGTGCTTTGATATTATTTTATTGATGAAGATAATGGGTTTGAGAGTTGAAAAAAGAAAAGGGGGCGCTTTAAAATGAATCTTGTCCCTGGGTGCGAATATTGTCCGCAGGCGCCAAGCACTCTCGCTATGCCTCTGTAAGAAGGAGAACAAAGTTAACGTTAGGCATGGCGGGAAGGCCGTAGTGATAGCGGGAGACAGTACAGATGATGAGGGAGAACTGAATGTACTGTACTGACCATAAACATACGGTAGCAGAGTCCACAGAGGTGGACATTAATAAGAAACTAAATGATATTCCATGAAAAACAATAATAGGCGAACATAAAATCGAACTGTTAGATAAAAAAACCATTGAAATCCTACAAAGCTCAAGGAAGAAATTAAAGTGATGCTGGACTTGGGAATCATATAAGAATCAAATTCACCATATTATTTACCTTTAGTGTTAATAAAAAAGTTAGATTGCTCGTTACGAACTTGTTGACTATAAGAGAATTAAATACAAATATAAAGAAGGGGGTTAAAAAAATTGAAAATAAAAAATCATAACTCCACTTCTATAAAAGATAGAAAGATGAAATTTATGTTTTTATAAAGCTTATAGCTAGCACTTTAAAGTGATGTATCTTTTATGGAAATAGGACAATATTTCAAATATCTGTCAAAGTACTAATTGACAATTGCAATGGCTGGGTGGCTGTGTAAGAAGTACATTTTGGTACTCCTCAGAACGGCGGTCCCAAATTAAAATTATTTTACAAAATAAATTTTTAATTTGGGACCGCCATTCTGAGGAGTGCCGTTAAAACTATTTCATACGATAAAGTATTAACTAATGATGTAACCTCAGACCCTTCCCCCCTCGCTACACACTCACATAAATATTTGTACCAGGAACAAGGTAAGTTTTAAAAAAATGATAATGACAAAGCTCCAGTGTGAACCCTTTGGGGATCGAAAGACCCTAACCCAGGGGTGGCCAACAACCATCAGAAAAACTTATATATGAAGTAGTAACGAAAATAATTTTATGGTTGGGGGTCACCACGACATGAGGAACTGTATTGAAGGGTCATGGCATTAGGAAGATTGAGAACCACTGTTCTAATGAATTTCCAACGTTGTGTTTTTATGAATCCGCTACCATCCCCCTTTCCCTCAGAGCGTAATCATCGGCATCACACACGCACCCCTGTCAACCTCACCATAAATAGGTTGCCAAGTGGCAGCGATGCCTCCAAGCTGATTTTGTTGAGCTTGAAACCAATTGGGACATTCAATTGGTGTCCCAATTTTCAATGCTATCGAGATCTTTTGTGTGCTAAGCCCACAGTTTGAAAAAAAATGACCCAGTGCGTACACTGCATCTCGTATTGCATTGACTGCATATCCATGAGTGACTCAGCACATCGGACTAAAGACATGGGACAGCTACCGCTGTTATTGCTGTTTTTTATTAGACATTCTTCAACAAGCCACACTAACCAAAGCATGCTGTCATAAAGTGCCATCGGCGTTGAGTCGAAAGTTTACAGAATGTTTCCTTGTAAAATATTATTAGAAATATGAACCAGCGCTTGCAATAATTAGACTCCAAACAAAGTTAGTAATACTTGCAATGATTAGACTGCAAACAAAATTACAAGTAAACAGTTATGCCAGAAATTATCTCGGCTATTAGGCTGGTTGCCGGGCACGTTCTGAGGAGGGCCGTTTTAATTCCACCTCTTAGCCAAGATTACCCCCACCCTTCATACTGGTACAGGCCCCATTTGATGGACCTACAGTGCAATGACATCAAGATGGGACCTTCAATGCTCTAGAGAGCCTGGTCCCTACACTCCAGTGTAAGCTGATGCCTCTGAATCTGACTTAATGGTCTATTATTTTTACAGTACTTTAACCATATGAATATTGGTTTTGGTTTGAGACTGGCAAAAATCTGGCCATACATCGGCTAAATAGACTAAACCAACCTAAGTGTTTGACTGACTTTTTACATACATGTTTTATATTAAAATTTCGCTTTAAAACTACTGAAAATACATGACAAAACAATTGGCAAATAAAAAATACATGTCATACTAGTGACTGAAGTGTTTTAATGTCATTCCATGAGGTAAAAATTAATTTTTTATTTTATTTCTGTAGAAATAATATGGGCATGGGACCACCATTCTGAGGAGTGTATACATTTTCACTGTCACCACATCAGTCAGCATCTGTGATTTTGCACATTTAAATTTTGAATTATGATCAAATTAAATGGTAAATGTGAATGTGAAGAGATGGCACCGTGATGTATCATATGGCTGTCATCTTGGTTCACGCGACGCATGAACTTTGACGGGTTCACAGGAACCAAGATGGCAGCCGTGGAAAATTTAAATAACTCACATTTGCTAAAATTGGGAATAAAACGTTAAAAATTAGTCAGTGTCTACACGTCCGGCGCGCCACATGAATATCTCCTGCACTATTTGTCCGGCGACCAAGTCACATGACCACCGTAACAAAGTGACGCGAGATATTTGTCCGTCAGCCTTTTCACGTGACCGAGAATGATGAAAACTATTGTTGATTTTAAAATCTATTTCTCTACCAAATAATTTACTGAGTATCTTGCAAACAAATACTAGAAAAAAATACTTGGGTATATTACCAAAACAAAGTGGGGGTTAAGCAATAATGCATTCTAGAAGGAAGCAATGCTGAGAGGGAGAGACAATTACGGTAATAAAAAAATATGAATGCTAAAAAAATAATAGTTAGGGTGATAAATAATTAAGTTTAAGGCGGGGAGGCAGATAGATCACAAAGAAATAGACCCTACATCTTAATATAGGGTCGATATAGTGGTAGCCTAGCCTACTTCTCATGCAATACTAATCCTGAAATACAACTTTATTGACATAAGTCTATTGAAGTCTACTGGTCTTATTTTATTTTGTTCATATTTTAAATTTAGGCTTCAAGGTAGAGCTTTACAAGATGTTTAACCAAGATAAGGGACTTTTTCTTTGGAGAGGTCGGAATCAAATAGACTAGTAATAGTAGTAGTAATAGTACTACTAGTTAGTATATAAATATAGGCTGACTAGTTTAATATGCAGATACTTTATGTATCTCAGAGCATTTGAATATATTAACATGTTCAGCATTTATTTATTATCTAAGGATCGGAATATCAAATGCAATCCAACTATTTTGCCGGCGACCATTTGTCACATGACCAGCCGGAATAATAACGCCTTCCAGTCGTCCGGCAGTCACGTGACATGCCCTCCGGACATATAACTCCCACGTGTATGAAAAAATGTCCTAAATGTATCCCTAAACCTAACCTGAAACCTTAATCGATAAATGCGAAGAGATGGCACCGTGATGTATCATACGCCGTCAACTTGGTTGGCGCGACCCGTGGCCATGAACTTTGAAGGGTTCACAGGGCAGCCAAGATGGCGGCCGTGGAAATTAAAATAACTCTTGTTTGCTCAAATTATTAATAAAACTTTAAAAGTTAATGAAAAATGTCCTGAATTTGCCTAAATATATCCCCCCTAAGCCTAACCTGAACCCTAAATCTATTTCTAAACCTAACCTGACTAACCCTGAACCCTACAACTAAATCTATCCTAATTAATTAATTTATTAAATAAATAACTAGGCCTCAATCTCCATTAATTACAAATTTGAAATTAAACCTTAAACAAAAGTTAAAAGTGTTAAAATGAATTAAAAGTAAAGTTTGTAAAAGCCTTCGCCTTCACTTCATCATCATCTTCATTCCAACGGACCCGACTCAACTTCACTGCCTTACGCCTACTTTTGTGTTCGGTAACTTACCCATTACCTGGACTCTACAGATAGCACATGTATCACATTCAACATCCCAGCTCCACATTGCAACCAAGTTCCACTTCTTAAGAGTGAACATTTTATCGGGCTTCGGGACTGAATCTTTGTCAGTCTGATCGGTTTCCATTTTATTCGACATTATTGTTGATATTAAAGGGAAGTAATCAAAAAATATTCTGAAATCAACTTCCGGAAAAAAAAAAAGGTCCCCTAAAATGGTGTCCACAATTGTACCTATTTGGGCAACAGAAAATGAACAAATAAAGCTAAGGCATCATATTTAATTTTAATCATAAGGCAGATGAGTGATGACTCTTCAACATTTCTACAAAATTTGGATACGTGTCTATTTATTACGTGCAGTACATTCTCAAGATGGTTTTTAGGAGTTAATCAGTCTGAGTCATTTTTGCTTTGGACATGATATACATTAGTTACATATTAGTTACCGGTACTTTTTTAATTTTAACTTTTACTAACTTTTTTGTTGTTGTTTTTTTGTTTTTGTTAAATTGTTTGTGCTTGGGAGAAGATACTAAATTAAAAAGTAGGGATTTTTTTTAAAGCCTGCTATTACAAATTTTAGTTACCAGGTACTAATACATTAGTTATCATTATCAGTATGCTCATGCCCATGCTGTACTGAGTAGGCCTACTGTAAATATATTTTATTAGTTCAATTGCGTATATTGGTATATTATTTCTTAACGCATTTCGTATTTTATCGTGTAAACTTACGTGTATTCTTTATTAATTAAATACAGGCAGTTATATTTAACTAATAATGAATTTTAAATCGCCTTTTATTCTTTTTATTTGATTTCTAAAGAGACTTTTAAACATCCCCCAACCAAAGTTACATAACCCCATTTTTTTTTTCCCTTTTCGGCCTATGGCCAGATTTTTAACCACCTATAAGTTAGTATACTAAACGAAATTTTCAAACTGCAGGCATATTCACAAAAAAGAATGAAATTTAGATTTTTCATTACGCACGAGCGCCCCCCTTCCCCACCCCCACTTTCTTTTTTCCCTCTCAGAGCACTCAGAATATACGGGTTGTCCCTTGAAGTCTTGGGGGGGGGGTGGAATTTGAGGTGGCTCACCGGTAAGGCAGCGGACACACACGTCATCATTGTCCTGGAGTGAAGCTGAAAAAAAAAGGGAGGGGGGGGTGCCACGAATATGTGCCAATGTGTGATCACGTGTCCACTTTAAAAAAAAACAATATTTGTGACGTTTCAGGAATGGGGGAAATCAGATCTTTTATTGATAGTCATCTCATACTGATGGCTGCAAATACGTTGTCCGTGAATATGGGATCCCACCGGAAACGGATCTCACCGGGATTGGGATCCCACCATGGCTGGGATTCTACCGGGATCGGGATCCACCATGACCGAGATTCTACCGGGATCAGGATACCACCATGATCAGAATTTTACCGGAATCCCATCAGGATCCTTCTGGACAATGGGGTGCCATTGGAAAATAGGAAAAACGAAAGGTTATGCATAAGTTATTTTAAGTGTTTTTATAGGAGACAAATTGATTATTATTATTTTTTTAATATAGTGGTGTTGTTTTGCAACTCCGGTTACATTTCATAGTTCAGTTTTAAATTAAAAACGACATTTATTTTAACCAAAATTCATCCAATTGGGCAACTTTTATAACGTATCCTAAAAGACAGAGGAGTTATCCTTGATTTACGACAATTGCTCTGTAAAAGACAAAAGATTCATGAAAATGTCTTCTTTTTATCTCGTAAAATTTGTTAAATTGTTGTTGTATTCCGATAAAAAGATGGTATTTTACTTTTAAAATATTTTTTATAAAGAATTAACATAAGTTTACACATGAAAATACGAAATTCAAACAGAAATAATATAGACACCTGAACTGCACTTTTACCACTATATTTATAATAATTTATATTCCTATATGAATGATAACTACTACTACGTGTACCGTACAATATACGGTCTGTAGGCTACTCCTACTAATAAATCAAACTAAGAATGACATGCGGCATGGCATTATTACATGTAGTTAGCTAATTTAACTAATAATTAAAGGTCAAAATAATAAATGTTAATAAATCAATTAAATCATTATATAGTATGAATATTATGGATTTATGTATGAGGGAAGTAGAATATTGAATAGCAGTGGCAGTGGTAAGTGGCTCAAGTCTTAAGTAAGTAGGGGAAACCCCCTAGGCCATATTATGCTTTATCATCTTGCTTTTACTTTTTCAATATGGGATCGGCACTTCAGACTTCTTAGTGTTTTATAATTAAAATAATGATGCGAAAGTTTATGAATCCTGTTTGTTTTTTTAGAAAAAGATTTACCGATTTAAAAAACAAAAAATTGGGTAGGGTTTATAACTACATATAACTCCATAATTTTCACCATATTTATCAATTATTAAATTATTTATGATTATGTTATTTATGTTGTCACATAGCCTACATTATTACTGTAGTATTGCATTTTCAGTAGATGTCACTCACAATCCTTTTTGTGATTGTCATTGTGAAGGGAATGATTTCCTTTTCGAAATTGCTTGAACAACTAGGCCAAATGAATTTTTAGACAAGTTTCAGCTTTACTGTCAACAGGTAAAAAACTATCAATTTTTCATTTCAGCAAGTTTAACTTCAATTTTACATTTTAATTAAGACAATTAACACTAATCCAACTTGTTTTCTGATGTTTGAAACAGAATTCATTTTTTTAGCTGCATTTAATCTTAAAATATCAAGTCTAGTTAGTTTGCAATTTTAAAATTAAAATCACTTTTGGCTTTTATTCCCATTATTTTGTCCCTGGCATTTAAAAAAATTATTGATATATTAAATTTTGTCAAAGTTCTATGGGATACATTCACGAAGGAAAAAGTATTTATTTTTGGAGAGAAAAGAGCATAATGGGTTGGTGAATATCATTTCCGCTTTCATATCATTGATTGTTGTAATGGTTTGGCAAAGTAAACATGGATTGGATGATGTAACCATGATTTGAGAGGAAAGAAATTATTCAGAGTAAAAGTATAAATTTTATTTTAAAAACTATATTATTAGGCCTGTTTAATTAACCCTTCTTAACTTTCTAGAATCAAGTTTAGAAACAACAAACATATTTTGGAACCAACCCAACTTGGTAAAAGTAGGTGGCAGCCACGGGTAAGCTTTTATGTTTTACAAAAACTTGAACATAGCACATATCATAATTGCTGATTGTTATGCACTGGCTTCTAATATGAGAAATTAATCTCCTATTTTAATTTTATTGGCTTGTTGTAAACAGTGCCTAACAAAGGACGATACCATAGAGTCAACAATATTAAAGATACGACACCGAAAACAGTTGCCAGCTACAATTAAAATATTGATTAAGTCTTAAGATAATTACAAAAGAAAAGAAAATATAATGACAATCTTCAAATTACAGTATGGTAGATCTTGTACCGGTACACAGTTAGAATAATGTGCCAATGAATAAGGATGAAATGCGAAATAAACACATATGAGCTCACAAATACACAAAGAATAATACACGCCTCGTAAAGTTAACATCTATCTGAATCTCTCTCTCTCTCTGTGCCTGTCAATCCTTTATATATGTGGGCCTACCGACGCATCTAGAAAACGCCTTTTCTTTTCTAGAACAATGTAGATCATTCTACAGAATACTAGGAGACAGGCTAACATGTTTAATTGGTAAACACGGTTGTAAACAAGATACATCAAACGAATAGGCCACGCCCACAAAAAACGTCACACATTTATTTTTAAAAAAATGTTACTTCTAATTTATTTTTTTAGTGGAATTTAATAGCTTTAAAAAAAAAATTGTCAAAAATTTTGTGTATCATTTGAATAAGTTTTATGTCAAAATAGCACAAAATGAGTATCTCCTGAATGTGTTGTTCACGATTCCTCTCGCTAGGAGCGCTAGTATGCTGTTGCGAAGCCTTGTTTTATGTATAGCCTTGCCAGAGGCGTAGCGAGGATGTTTGGGGCCCGGGGACAAGATCCATTTTAAAGCGCCCCCATTTCTTTTTTTCAACTCTCAAACCCATTATTGTTACCAATAATATAATATCAAAGCACATTTCAGCGCCCCTAACTAGCTTGCGCCCGGGGAATCTGTCCCCCCTGCATCCCCCCCCCTCGCTACGCCTCTGAGCCTTGCTTTCATCTTTCCTGAAGTATTATTATTTCTATGTTGTCCGCTGCATAATTCTTTCACTGTCCTTTTTATTATTTAATCATTTGGTGAGGTCAAGTTTCTCTAATATACTTCTTAACCTGTGTAAAAAGATTGCATAATCGGAAGATTATCTAAAACTTGACCCAACCTATTGTAAATGAAAAGCAGCAGATAAATGATGTGTATTATATAATTGTCTAGTCTAATTTTTGCAATTTTTGTTTTGAAATTCAATCTAGGTTGAATCTAGATCTAGTTACTGCTTCAATGAATAACTGTGACAACTGTTGACAATTAACTATTCTACTATTAAAGTAATTTTTAATAATGTGATACAGGAAATTAAGTGGAAATTTTATATTTTAATAGTTTAATAGTGAAATGTGTTTTAGATTAAATTTCAATTAGGTGTTAATTTTTAAAAAAATTTGTTCGAAAGTGTGACTACCTGAGGTCCGTGATTTGTGACAGTTTGGGACAGGGGGGGGGGGGTTAGAAAAGGGCAACAATAGCGTGACGTACTGTATGGACGGCCCCATACATAACACTGATCAAATATCTACTATATATTTTACAGGAGTTTTGCCAGGGTAAAGTGAAGTTATGGCATGTTCAAATCAACAGATTAAACCTGATCCAATAAATCGTAAGGAACATTTTAAAATTTAGCTTTTAAGGGATAACTCTAATTTTTACTTCAATTTTGCTATTTCAAAATCTGAACATGCAGGTTATACATATTTTGATTTTGAAACAAGTAATTTGATTTTAATACAAAGACTACTGTTAAAGTCCAATTTATGATGTATTGATACAAACGGGTCAAACTTTCATCATTCTTGGCCACTTAAAAAAAAAAAAATCTTCATTTTATTCATGTTGAGGAACATTCCTTGTATGTTTTATATTTGCATATTTTAAAT